CCTCTCAAATCTGGACCCCTCTGAGTTTGGTGCATTCTTTGAAATTCACCAGGAGGAAGTACCACAAAGTCTCAGCCAGAGGCCATTACTATGATTACTATATAGTTTCTGGGCACAATAGTGGTATATTATATGAAAAATAATATGGTAGTTATTACTATTTTATTATGATAGCAACCATAATAATGTTACTTTTGTCATTCACCTTTTTATCATTCTGGGCTAAGATAGAATGTAAATTTGGGTTAAAAAAAATTTTCATCTCTGGGCTGGGGCTGTAGCTCAGCGGCAGAGCACTTGCCTAGCATGCATGAAGGCACTGGGTTTGATCCTTAACACCACATTTTTAAAAAATGAAACAAGTAAAATAAAGGCATGCTGTCCATCTACAACTATACAACTACAAAAAAAAAATCTTTTTGTCTCACGTCAGTATGATGGAAAGACTTTCTCGGTCCATCTCCAGGGTTTCAATACCTCTTATGCTCCCTTCACTGGGAAGAAGTGGTTTGAAGGGCTGTTAGGAAGGTGATATAGTAGATTGAAAACCACAACACACATGATTCTTGGTTGACCTTCTAAAGAGCTGTAGCCATTTTGGTATGCCAGTTTCAGAGGCTAAGAATCATCTAGGTATGTAACATAGAAGTAATAGAAGGGTAAAATGTTTTCCTTAAAAAGAAATATCAGTGAACTCTCTTTAATTTTGTTATCAAGCTCTGTTAGCCAGTGAATAAAGAGATTATAGTCTCCATGCCCCCACAGGAAAAAAATGAGGTTTAGAGAGTTTCAGTGATTTTCTGAGCATCACAGATTTAATTGTTTATGGAAGAATTAAGATCAAAACACAAGATTCTGGGCTGGGGATGTGGCTCAAGTTGGTAGCGTGCTCGCCTGGCATGCGTGCGGCCCAGGTTCGATCCTCAGCACCACATACAAAGATGTTGTGTCCACCGATAACTAAAAGAAATAAATATTAAAATTTAAAAAAACCAAAAAACAAAAAACACAAGATTCTAAGTCCTGACTCATAGTCCCTCATTATCCCACTTCACCCTAATGGACATGGTACTGCTTGCTGTTAAGTAGTAGGGGCCAGTTATTCCCAAATGGCACTTTTTCTCATCTCACAGTGATTCTCTCCTTTAGATCTTGCTTTACAGGTAGGATGACACTATAAGAGATCTTCTGTTATCTTTTTAGTAAAACAAACAAAATCCAGGGCAAGGAATGATAGGGGCTAAGACTGACCTGATATGAGTTTCAACCTGGAATGAATGTGGTTAAAACCAACTAATGCTTTTATGTTTAGTGCTTCATATTGTACTGGGCACTATGCTCAGACATGGGCACCAAAGTTGAAAGTATTTACTCTTCTCTTCATACACGAATAGTTTAGAAGAGAAGAAGACACATATACAGTGTCAATATTGCACGCTAAGTGTAATGTTTAAGGTTAACACAAGTGCTATGGGAGCATGAAGGAGGACACCCAAGCTAGTCCATAAGTAGGGATGTGGTTTAGAAGTTTTCTTGGAGTAAAAACAATAAATATTAATGACAGACCCATTGAAAGCACTCAATGGAAGTTAGCTATTATTACTATGACAATAGCCAATATCCCTGCTCTCAAAGAACTCACAGTCTACCACAGGGAAAAGTACTAATACATAACCATATTCATATGTAATTCAAGCTATTATGGTCTGTTGGAGCAGACAGACATGTTCACATTCAATGAATTTAACCTATATGTCAAGAATGAGTCTAAGGAGATACAAAGACATCCTCAATTATATATGAGGAAACTGAGGCACAGAGAGGTAAAGTAACTGGTCTATAGCCACACCACTAATGGATGGAGTTAAGTAGCCACAAATTAAAAAGGAGAAGTGTCTCTGACATCTGAAGGATGACCTGACTCTCACAGGTAAGCCATACTGTTCTCCTGTTGGACATAAACAGTTTCACAAAATATCAACATCAGACAAAGTCACCCTGAGAATATGATAAAGTGAAACAAAACAAGGCTATTTCATGATTTGTCGAAGCACAAACAAAACAAAATCACTATGCCACCCACAAAAGCCTTATACCCACTTTAGTCTGACATCTCTATAGATTCAATATATTAAGATGCCCAATTGTAGAATTGCCCTTGCTTTCTGACAGCAGTCAATATAAAGCAAACCCCATTTCCTCAGACACTTCCTCAAATTACCCAACCAAAACCCAAATCCTATAATAAATCCTTTTTACCACCCTTTTACTGAGATCCCCCATGCTAACCTATTATATTAGTTTGCTTGGGCTGCCATAGCAATATACCGTAGATTGGGTAACTATATGACAGAAGTTTATTTTCTCACAATTTTGGAGATTAAACATCCAAGACCAAGGTGTTTGAGGGTTTGACTTCTCCTTAGGCCTCTCTCTCTCCTTGGCTTGCAAGCGATGGCCTTCTAGCTATGTTTTGCATGGTCCTTTTTTTCATAGTGTGAGCTTCTGCTATCTCTGTGTATCCAAATTCCTCTTCTTAAGGACACTAGTGGGGTTGGATTGGGGTCTACTATAACAGCCTTATTTAACTTTAATCCCTTCTTTAAAAGCTCTGTCTCCAAATACAGTCACATCCTGAGATACTAGGGGTTAGAGTTTCAACATATGTACAGGGGTCGGGGGCACAATTCAGTCATAGGTGGATCTGTGGTGTGTGTTCTCCCTCACTGTAACTAGTAACAAACCTAAATTGTTCAACTACAGCTATGTGTTTCTAGTGGCTGGAGGGCTTTGACACAAATTATGACTGATAACTGCTACAATTTAAATAAATTTGAAAAGGAAGACTAACACATTGTGATTAATACAGGTGAAAACAATACTGCTTTCTAACAGTAGGAAAAGAGAAATTATTCTGATTACTGAAAACCAGCCAATAGGGAGTGGCATTTTACATATTTTATCTTTTTTGTTTATTTTTGCATTTGAGTGCAGAGGCTAAAATTTATTTTTCTTCTTGCCTGATGCCTAAAAAGAAGCAAATGTATTTGCACAGTGTCTGTCAGATACAAGATAAATAAGATACCATTCCTATTATTCTCAAGATATGTATACTAACTTCTTTGTGACACAATTTTTCCACCTGTGAAATGGGGGAGATAAAATTGTGTTGGTAGTGAGGATTAAATAAAATAATTCAACTGGGTGTGGTGGTGCACACCTGTAATCCCAGCAACTTGGGAGCTCAAGAGGCAGGAGGATCGCAAGTTCAAAACCAGCTTCAGCAATTTAGGGAGACCCTAAGGAACTTAGCAAGACCCTGTCTCAAAAAAACATAAAAGGGGCTGGAGGTATTGCTCAGTAGTTAAGCACCTCTGGGTTCAATACCTGGTACTAAATAATAATAATAATTCATATAAATTTCTTAGCACAGTCTCTGACACAGAGTGTTGATTATTTGAGAATGCACTATTATTTATGGATGAATTTTGGAGATACAAAAGGAAAGAACAAGAGTATCCCAAGCAGGTGGAATGGCACAAACAAAAACAGAGATGAGAAGCTGTAAAAGTGTCCCCTGTGCCCATTCACTTTATGGCTCAACAATGAAATACTGGAGAAAGAGGGCCTCAAATTTGATGAAGTAGCCTTGATGTTATTGACAGTGGAATATCTGAAACATCTGTCTCCTGTACTTTGCCAGGCCAAGGGAAATAGCCCCCCACCACTTTTGTTTCTGAGGAGGGGTTGTGTGACAGGCTATGTAGGCTCTGTTGAGGGTTATAGAAGTTACTCAAATCCTGTGCTTAGGAGAATGAAGTGGAACCTGTGGAAGCAGAGAAACGTGACATTGGGCCCTCTCTGGAGAAACCAGGCTTTGGCAATGACTTGCTGGAGCAAGTACACACAAAGTAGCTAGTTTCACCCTTTCTGTTCTAGCACCAACCTTTCATCTCTTGCCCTGGTTCCTAGCAGTGATGACTGTGAAGCTTCAGCTCCAACCTTACACCCGCGGTTTCAGGAGTGCTACTTGCTCGCTCCTGAATCTCACTCCAATCTTTTGCAGTTTTCTGTTGTGTTCCCAGATCGCCAGAAGGGAAATGACCACCTAAGGAATTTTTCAATGACAGCAGTCAGGCAGATCCGATTTCTTTCCTGGTCCCGTTCAGGTTCCCTTTTTCTCTGATGTATTCCGAAAAACCCATCCCTTTCCAGTACTCATCCTCGATCCGACCCTTCCAGGAGGACCCATCTTCCTAGTGGTCTAGGCCCTTAAGTTAAGGGTAGGTTGAATGGTTAGACGCTTGGTGGACGAAGCCATTCAGATATTCTTCCTGAAACTTCAGAGCGCCCCTCTCTGCACACACAAATACACAACTGCCCTCAAAGGCGTGGGAGAGTGGTGTCCGGCTGCGTGTCTGCCGGGCGAAGGACGAGTCAG